CCCAACTTCAGATGGTCATCATCGGTCAATAAAAGTCAAAAAGGAGAAGAAACACAAGAAACATCACGGTGAAACGTCGGATGGCAAAGGCAATGATGATTTTGTGCTGAATTGCCTGCTGAAGTCGGCTGGAGTCCGTTGCGCCATCAAACATGATGACCTGGTGGAGGACAAACCGTCGGATTATCTAATCGAGAAGGAAGCCGCTGCTGCCGCCAACAATGCAGCCAAAGCGATCGGGAAAAGGTATGTGTTTTCAATCGTTTCTTTACGAAACCACCTTTTGATTTTCGACTTCGCATCTATCATCTACCAGTGTAGGCTGTGTGCTCCTGTGCAAATTCAATCCATTTGTGGCGCACATAGAGCTATCTGCGGTCTTCTAATTGCTTTATTTGAATACCTCATCTGTGCTTAGAACTTCTTGAGTTTTGGCATCGTGCCTTCATTTCTTACTTGCTCTCATATGCTAATTATCGTATCAGCCAGACTACTGTACCATAGGCATATTGGGTTTTTGATTGCTCTATCGTTTGATACATACATTACTAGTACTCATTTTTGTAGTCTATCCATTCAGGTCTAACAGATCCTTTGTTCGTGAGTTCCGAGCACTATTTCCTCTGTCGTCGGCTGCTTCGTCATCTTCGACAACGGCCACGGAACATGCCCCTTTTTCTGGAAAAGATATCAAAGATGATCTTTTTGCTGCAATACATGCAAGAAAACGTAGAGCGAATGAGGGCAAGGCATCGGTAAGTGTATAATCAAAATGGGATACATCTGATAACTTAGAGACAATTCTAGGCAGTGATCGTCAAAGACAAGTACGTGGCTATGGCTGAAAAAATTCGCGATTTTCTTGTTACCTGTGGTGGAAGGGCCTACACCGAGATGATCTTTGACAAATTCAAGGTAGACCCTCTAATGTTCAAGTGTAGTAGGCAACGTCTAATTGAGCTTTTCAGGACGAATATAAGGAAGAAATGCCGGAGCTCCGAGCAATACTTAGAAAATTATGCAATTTCGATCATCTCAAGAGAGAATGGTATGTTAAGAGCGAGTACGCTTGAATGCGTTGAATTGCTGAAGTTTCGTTTCTTTTGCATGTTTTGTACAGGAAAATGTTGTTTTATTTGTTTTGTAAATACATCCTTTGTATTACTTGCACATAATATCCAAGTTTTTGCGATAATCTGTCTCTTTCACTTGGAGACCAAAGGAATCCGAGTTTTGCAGAAACCAGGAAAGGCTCACATCTTTTTTATCTCATAGAAGTTCTACCTGTTTATCTGCTTTCTTCTACGAATGTTTTGGTATTACTTTACTTATGTAATTTTAACTACCTTGTTTATCACTGAAGTTTTATCGAGTTGCTTGATCAAACAAATTGAGTTCACTTACGCTGAATACTTCTTTATCAAATGCTTTCCATCATATAACTTGTACATAGTGAAGAGCTTATACTCATAATATTTAGTCTAGCTTTATAGTGTGATCTTTACTGGTTGATTTGTATGAGCTGTAAAAACGTGGTGGTGGTTGCTGCCGTTTTAATAAATTGAGTGAAAGTTTTCATTTTGCACGGCATACATCAAACTGCGAAAGTCCTATTCATACTTGAATAAAATAAGTTATGTCGTATGGCTTGTACTTCGTCGGAATTGTGAATCAGCGTATGAGGCTTTTCTTGAACTGATTATGACGTTGTAGCTCTTCTTTTGAGGGGTGGATTCCCAAAGGTAACGGAGGAAGTACTGAAACTCCTCTTGATCTGGCTGCTATAAATCGGGCCGAGATTGGGAATTCTACTAGTCCGATGGATTTCCTGAAGATAATCTGAACTGCGGGAATTTTATATAACAGTCAGAAAA